CCCCAAAACCCCAAAACCCCAAAACCCCAAAACCCCAAAACCCCTTTTATAATCAAAATGGTTGAGATACTATTACCTATAAACTTCTCTTTCAACCTCATAAAATGAGGAAAAGAACATTTTGAAACTTAGATGACTAAAGCCCTAGATGAATATATTCACAGCAAATCACTGAAAGCATTATTTGCTCAAAGGCTAGCTCTAAATACCACCGTAATTTTAAATGTAGAATAATAACTTTTGAACTAGGGTTAAAAGATCTAAGCTATTCTGATAAAGAGATGATGTCCCTTGAAAAGAACCCAGGTAGTATAATTTCTACCTAAGCATTTTCTTCCAAATTGTAGTAATTGATTTGGCTCAATTTTTTTATCTAAAGAGTGATAGGGAAGTGGTTGGAGATCAAATTTAGATCCACGCTTCCTCCAGAAATTCCATCAATTTTTCCTGCATCTGAGAACTGCCAAACTGATACAGCTGGAGCTCCAGTTGGGAGATCTGTTGTCCAGAATTGTTCATTCTCAAAGGGATCTCTATATCTGGCCTTCCAGAGAGCACGTCCCTTCCATAAGTCAGCTCCAGCAGATCCGATTCTTGATTCCCAATAAGAAGTTCCACCATAGATCATTTGATTAACATAGCCTTTTGCTTTCATTGAGTCCAAGAAATCTTTAATGGTCTTAGCGTATTCTGCCTTTGTCATTCCATAAGGAGAGTCTTCACCTAATACATTCGGATCTTCGACATCAATGGCAATCCAATCTTTTGCCTTGTCAAAGTAAGGATCTTTGCTGAGCATACTTGCGAAGTGATCAGCTTGGCCAGTGGCAGAGGTCTTTGGATGGAAGTAATGATAAGCTCCCTTTACCTTTACATCAAGGTTTTGGCTGACACCTTTAGAGTTCTCAAGATAGCGACTATCAACAGTGTTTACACCTTCAGTTGCCTTCATAAATACAAGTCCGATCTTTCTTCCTTTGTATTGATAGTTGGCTACAGAAGCCCAGTTAATCACTCCTTGCCAGTGAGAGACATCAATTCCGTAAATAGATTGATTGTCTGGGTGTTCATTTACATCAGCAATAGCATATGTTTGATGAAGCTATATATTAATTACGATATTATTGTTAAGATAGAAAACTTTATTCAAATCTTGCTAAAATTTTCAATAAAGCAATAATGAAACCAAAAGAGTTAATGTTCTAAAATGATGCTTACTTTAATTCCTGCCAAGAGAAGACCAGCAAGAACAACAATCAGTTGAAGATTAGTTGTCGTAGACATTTTATTATCAAATTAAATATCTAACTTTGCTTCAGTCCATCACATTTTTATAGGGGTTTTGGGGTTTTGGGGTTTTGGGGTTTTGGGGTTTTGGGGTTTTGGGG